CTACTTTAGTCGGAAATCACCGACGGATTCGGTCGGAAATTGTTTTCCGACCAACTTTTTTCCGACCGACCAAATTCGGTCGGAAAGTAGTCGGAAATACATAATTTCCGACCGAATTCCGACCGTTTTGGCCGTCGGAAATCTGCCATTTTCTAGTAGTGATGGCCGACCTAAATACATAGTGATATTACCCGCTTTCTCCAAGTCAGAGGTTGCTTTTAAGGTGCAGTTTTGCAATACTTGTCCTGTTAGTAAAGTCTCAACATCTCTCTGTTGAGCTGTGACAGTAATATATTGGCGCTGACGTACTTCAATCAAACAATTCTGGAATACTGCAGCTGCATCACCGCAGATAAAGTCTATGGTACCCAAAATATCACAATCCCTATAAAATTGCCTACCGTACTTTGCATATAAAGTATCTTGATAACCCTCAAAACGACATTGGTAGAAGGTAAGAAAATCAGCTTCCGCTCTTAATGCTACTGCCTGTAGCATTTTAGGTCCAGCTATGTTCCGAAAAGTGATTCCTTGGGCTACGAAGCCCTGGCCATTCACCCCTGAAAAGTGAAAAACAATTAACAGAATAACCAATGCACATAATGCCGAGGAATAATCTACTCTTAAAGAGAATAATTTGAGAAATTAATTGGAATAAAGAAAATAGATTTACGTACCCACAGTTGCAGTATACATTGTCCCGATGCCTGCACCATAACTTTTATCTCCGGATATTATGGTTTTGTCCATTCCTTCTCCGATGAAAACGATATTCGTTTTCCAGCTTTCGATTTGGACGTATTCATTGTAGATTCCTATTTTTGCTTATTTATTTCTTCAGCACTGACAGAAATACAATCTGTGCAGTGCGCTCGCTTTACTGTCTGCTAAGTACAGAGCCATTATTGTCGTATAATCGCCCGAGCCATCTAGTGCTACTATTGCATTATAAGGAGGTTGTGTTATTTGTTGGCATTCTCCATAGCATAAAATGGTTAACCAACTCATGACAAAAATAGTAGTGAACCTCATTGATGCAGTTAGTAATATTCCTAATTGTAGAATATACAAATTAAAATCGTCTAGCCAATAGGACGGAGAAGATACTAGAAAATTGGTGTGAAGGATCAATATACTAGAAAATTGGAGGAAGTTGAACATCAATATATAATATATTACTTTCCTAATATTAAGACTACTAAAATAATCTAATTTTTACATATTAATCTTTCTTATTAATATGTAAGAAAACCTAATATTTAGTACTTACAAATTAATTATTTTATTACCTTATACAACTACAAGGTAAAACATCATTAAGTAGTATATACATAAACCTAGCCTATGAATTCTTTGACTTTATTTTACCATTTTATTACGTGATAACCTATGAATTCTTTTTTTTTTTTTTTTACCATTTTATTACGTGATTTTATTACATACTTGAAACTATAAAAGCCAACTTATTCTAACATACAACCAACTACGTTATTTACTTGTACCATTCCCTCTTCTCGGATGTGGTTCTAGCTATTTAATTCCCAACTTCTTCTCTTATTATTTTTAATTTTCTATAATTAAATTAAAAAAATCAATAATATATACATAAGATTTTGAAGTCAACTAATTAAGCGTTTTGTCCGCTTTTAGTTTTGGTAAATCAGCCACGCTACAAATATATACTAAAATAACTAGGAAGGAAGAGTTATAGTTGAGGAGGACTAACTAACAAAGGGGTAAAATTGTGAAGAAACATGAATTGAGTTGAAATAAAGGGTAAATTTCACAAATAGTCATATAATTATATTTTCTACATAAGAATTAGCGCAAACATATTTTTGATACTTATGTTGTTTTTAAAAGTTTAATATATAATATATATATTACCAATTTACCCATTAAAAGCTGAATGGCGATTTTACCCTAAAAATACATTATCTCTTCAAAATTAATGTATAAAAATGTAAAAACACTAAATTATAATATGCAATGCATTTGGTAAACTCTTTAGCATGGGATACTTTTAGTATTCCCTAATTTATAATGACTCTTATTATGTTCCCAACTAAACAAATGAAATTTTTTGGAATACAAATGGATACGAATGAATGAGAGAGTTATGTCTTTTCATTTTATATTTATTGGCCCGTTTTGCTTTAGCCCAAACATGAATAACAGCTAAGGTGGATATACACATGAACAGGCGAAGAGAGAACACATGAAGTAGAAATGTTAATGGCCAAGTTCCAGGAACAGCTACATAATCCCACCCAACACGATAAAATTGCTAGGTTAGTTTACATATTTTTTATTTTATTAATACATAATACATATTAACCTTGCATGCCTTCAATCTATCAAGTATTCTGAATCGCTTTAGTCATTATTTATTTATCTTACTTAAAGTAATTATTCTGCTCTAATACTAATAACGATGCTCTTTGCTTTGATTTATGAAGTAGGTATGGTCTTTCTCTTTTAAATTACAGGACATTATATCTAATAATTTTGATCTAATAATTTTAATCTTTGTATATCTATTAAGGCAAGCGTTTGATCTTTCAACTTCATTGTGCTATGATCAGGGAATAAACATAGAGCAGGTATAATGATGTGTGACTATAATTCCATAGTTTCGTACATTATTTGCCTTACATTTTATATGCTTTAATAATACATTACACTTTATTTGCGCACAATGGAGTTTATTTTGTGTGTAGGTGAATTGAAGATGAAAGTAGAGCAAAAGGGATACTTAAACGTTGACAGCTTGCTCGAGAACAGTGAATGAGAGACCCTGGCGACACCTGGCTTGAAGCTGGCGTTAGGCTAGCGAGGCCATGCTTGAAGCTGGCGTTATGCTGGCGAGGCCAGGCTTGAAGCTGGCATTAGGCTGGCGAGGCCGGGCAAATGCTAGGTCCACCAGGCGTTAGGCTGGCGACGCCAGGCCTGGGGCGAGATCCAGCCCGAGTTTTGAAGGCTTATTTCGTCTCCTGGTTAGACTAGGACTTGACCTACACGTTTAAGTCTTTTCCTACATATATAAATAGACATAAAAATGTCACTTTTGAGGAGAGAGACGAGAGATTGGACAAAGAGACCGACATTAGACCGGAGATTCGACCTAAGGAGGCAAGAACACACTAGGAGCAAGACGGAGAATTCTTCTACGAGTTTCACTTCCTTCTTCCTATTTTTATTATTGGTTATGAATTCTAGAATTGTAGTTATGGATACTATTATGAATAACTAATTTGTTATCTAGGGTTTTGATAGAACCTATTGGAGGAAGATTTTCCTGTTACGTTAATATAGATTTGATATAGTATTTTCTCTATTTGTTCAACGACGTTATTATTGTGATTGGTTGAAGAGCTCTCAATCGACTGTGGCTATTTAGTAAGTATTACTCGGGAGAGAGTACATATTTAGGTAGTTGTTGAACAACATCACTCCTAACGTATATGAGGGATCAATACGGAGGGTTTAAAGGTGGGATTAGGGATAACGAAACCTTGGTGCGATCCGATTGAGCCGTACTTAATTCCAGCTAGCGTAATACGGGAGAATATGTCTAGTAAATTATGGTAATTACTCGGGAGAGAGTTACGACAGTCAGAGTGATCATGATCGGTAGAGAAGACTTAGGCAAATTTATAAAAAACGTAGCGAAAATGATTCCGACAATAAGGGAAATCATAATTCTAGATGTCACGACCCGGATTTCCCACCCTCGGGAGTCGTGATGGCGCCTACTGGTGAAAGCAAGGCAAGCCAAATTATTCTAATTTCTAACCTTTTTCGGTCTTTAAGTCCTTATAAGTTCAAAGAAACATATCAAACGATGGAAATAACAATATCAATAACAAAGCGGAAGACGAAATCTGAATAATTTAACTTAATACAAACTGTGCAAGTCTAAATATAACTCTACCCAGAATTTGGTGTCACAATTTCATGGACTGTCTAAGATTACTACAAATAAAGTCTGAATAAAAATACCCGAATCTGTCTCTAAATAAGTAAAAAAACAGAAAAGAAATGATAGAAGGAGACGCCAAGGCCCGCAAATGCTTGCAGGACTACCTCGGGTCACCTGTTGGACTGAAGGCAGCAACCTCACTGCGGTCCAAACATTCCGGTACCAGTATCTGCACACAGTGCAGAGTGTAGTATCAGCAAAACGGATCACATATGTTGGTAAGTGCCTAGCCTAACCTCGGCGAAGTAGTGACGAGTCTAGGACCAGACTACCAAATAAATTTGTGCAATTAAATTATATACACTGAAAAAATAAAAGCAGATAATTACAGTTAAATATGGGAGGGGGAAAACATACTTCGGGGAGTAATAGATAACAACAGAATATCAAGAGGGATATAAAGAAACCAAAATCCAATTACTAATAAGGATAAGGAAAACAAATGCAGAATTCACTTTCATTTCACATCTTGTTGCAGGCGTGCAACCCTATCCCATTTCATATATCTCGTTGCAGGCATACAACCCGATCCCATGTCATATATCTCGTTGCAGGCGTGCAACCCGCTCCCATTTCATATATCTTGTTGCAGGCGTACAACCCGCTCCCATTTCATATATCATGTTGCAGGAGTGCAACCCGCTCCCATTTCATATATTTCTGTGGCGGCGTACCACCCGATCCCATTTACAAATCAACAACAATCACAAAAGGATCCCGGCAAGGGAACAAGAGTATAACAATAACATCCCGGCAGGGAAAACAATATCGTAAACAATAACATCCCGGCAAGGGAGACAATGTCATAACAATAACATCCCGACAGGGGAGACAATATCATAAACAATAACAACCCGGCAAGGGACCCAACAATGATAATCACTATTTTAAGTATGAACAAATCTCAACGGAGTCACTACAATTACAACACTAGACCCACGGGCATGCTTGACACCGATGTATAGATACTCGTCACCATGCCTATTCATCGTACTCCACAATTAACACATAGCAAATAAGACACAACTCCTAATCCCTCAAGCTAAGGTTAGACCGAACACTTACCTCGATGCCACAAACACAATTCAAGTCTCAACTACCGCTTTAGCTCTCGTTTCCACCACTAATTCGCTTGTATCTAGCCACAAGTTACTTAATTATATCAATAAATGCTAGATGAATCAATTCTAATGCATGAAAATAAGTTTTTCAATGTTTTCCCCGAAAAATAAAAAATTAACCCCGGGCCCACATGGTCAAAACCCGAGGTTCGAACCAAAATCCGATTACCCATTCACCCACGAACCCAAATATATAATTTGTTTTGAAATCGAACCTCAAATCGAGGTCCAAATCCTCAAAATTTTAAAAACCTTGGTTCTCCACAAAACACCCAATTTCCCCCATAAAAACCCTTGATTTTGAGTTGAAATCATGTAAAAAGATGTTACAGATTGAAGAAAACGAGTTAGAAATGACTTACAATCGATTTGGAGAAGAACTATTCTTTGGAAAATCGCCCAAGAGAGTTTATGTTTTGAAAGAGCTTGAAAAATGAAAGATTTTTGACTAAATTATGAATTTGCAGGTCGCAGATGTCGTAATTGCGAACCTCTTCGGGGCCTTGTATCTTCGCAAATGCAAAGAATATGTCGCATTTGCGACCATGAAGTATTCCGGTCACCTTCGCATTTGTGAGGGACCGTGTGACGATCCGGCCAGTCGTCTCATGAGTTACCACTCCATTTCTCCCATTGCTGCTTCTAAT